TGGATGGATGGATGGATTGTGATAAGAGTTGTATGATCCCCCAATAAAATGATTTTAAAAAGAAAATTGAAACGTGGGTATACATGTTGAGCTGCTAGCCACAAGGTCCCCAGTTAGAACCCATCTGTTGCTCTGAGGGAGGAGGTGAAGCTTTATAGTTCTGGAAACGGAGAGTGAGCAATTCTACTCTGTCCTGTAGGGTACTGTGAGTCAGAATTAAGTTGATGGCAGAAAGAGAGGCTGTAACACCAGACACCATTTAAGATGATGACAAGCAGCAGCAATGGTGGCACAAGAACTGGGAGACAAGTGTGAGGTGGTACAGCGGGCTTCTTGGGCCACAGAGCAAGGTGGTTACAGTGGGTGTGCCAATGGAGGGAGAGGTAGGAGACTCTGGGCAGGTGGATTCTCTGGCAGAGTAGGGTACCAACTGGGCATTTGTTAGCACAGCTAAAAAATGCTGTAACACTTGCCAAAGCAGATTACAAAGCTCAGAGAGAGGCACAGTTGAGAGTAGGCTGCCCTAAATAAAATAACTATATTCTAAGTTGTTCCTTATCCTGAAATGTAACCCATTATTTCCCAGATATATCCAAATTTTTAAGTATGGTTTGTGAGTTTTATATGGCCATTGCAACACATTATCAAATCAGAACAGCGGAGAGTGCTATGGGAGGGATGGGAACTACACATGGTGTCAGAATTGGTAAAAAGTTTGGCGTGTGGAAAAATGTCTGACCTCTGCCTCATAGGAATCAGCCTTAGGTTGATATGGACTCTTCCCCCCTCCAGAAGTTGCAGAAGATCAAGCACCTCTGCCACACCACCTTTCTATGGTGGAAAAGGCAATTAGGAATCAATACATTTTAATATAGAGCAACAGAAAAAGTATGCAACAATGGATGAAACGAGTTACTCTTTCTCCTACTCCCAGGAGGCTGATGGTAATTTGGTGATTTCTGAGTGTCGAAGAGTACTGCAGAAATTACACCCTCAGTCTAACCAGCAGCAAAGAGGCACCATGAGGGAGAAAGAACAGGGAGATTTGGAAATGCAGTCTTTATTCTGTATGCCCTGTATCCAGCTAAAAACTGTGGATTATAATGGAAGGGGAAAATATACATATACTAGAAGACAACACAGACCTTGTACAAAAAGCAAACATTACACAGATGCATGATAGCACCTGGCATATTTAAGATTTTTTTTTTCACGTTTGAGAAATGTAATTTTATTAAGTGAGAGAAGGGTATGTCTTATCAGACATACAATCATCAAAGCCCTAGAATCATTACAAACATGAACACTCTCAGTTTTACAGAGTACAACACAAAGTCAATGCTGATAAAGTCTTATTTGAATTTACTAAAAATATGATAAACTATAATCGATCTCTAAACAATTGTATAAAGAGAAAAGTAGGACACAATTATTTCACTGAAGATATGGGAATGATAATTTGAGAAGGCTTTCTTTAAAACATATTAAGGTATATCACAAATCAAA